ATGTTTTTTCAATTGACTTATTGGGATGCTTTGTTTGATGTGGGCGGAGGGGGAGGTGCCACGAAGTGTCCTACCTCGCCGCTAGATGGCTGCACCTGCGAGTGCTGCGGTTGCGGCGGTGGCTTTGGTTGGGGGCCGTCCAGAGAGGGGGAGGAGGGGGGGGGGCTTTAGTCTGCCCACCTCACCTAACCTCATTCCGTAGAGAGACTCGGAGCGGGTCGGACGTTTGCTAACGCGGAGACTTGCGCGAGGCCAACCAGGCCTGTTGCTTGGTTACGAACCACAACAGTATGACGGACGAGCATCGATCAGCCGCGGAGTGCAGCGCCGTGCCAGTGTGGTGTTGAGTGTGCCGTCGCGGACGCGAGTGTGACGCCCAACAGCAAGTGTCCCCCGTGCAGCGGAGCTAAGCGGAGCGCACGGACGGGAAGGATTTCGTCAGCGTCAGTGTCTGTGTGTGAGTGTCTGTGCGCGCAAGGTTGGAGAGCGAGCGCGGACGGCGCCGCGGACCCGTCCAGCAGCAAGCCCTAGTGAGCCCCGCCCCGGCCGCCAGCTGAGTTCCAGCTGGTGTTTCCCTCCGCTGCTCTGCTGTCTGTCACCCGCGGGCTTCGCGCCCGTTCGCGCCAGTGACTATAGTCGCAGCGGCATAAGGCCGCGGGACCGTCACTGCCCCGCGAGCCTAGGCGGGATCGACTCTGTGACGACGGAGCAGCTGACGCAAGGCGTTGACGCGGAACGCAGCGAAAGCAAGTGAAGTCAGGGCAAGCAGGCCTGCTGCCTGCGGGGACCTGGTGCCTCACTTCTAAGCGCGCTGCTGGACAGTCCCGGGGTGCCCAGAAGGAGCCCCCCCCCCCCCAACATCCAGCCTCCTTGTCGGGGTGGTCCAGGCTGGAGAGACCCCTCTAAGTCTGTCAGGCGCGAAAGGGCATGTCAGTTGCCACCCGTGGGAACCACTGATCCGCAGGGAGGCCGCTTAGCGCATCCGCGTCTTGCGGGGGAAAGCCGCCTCGCGCCTGGTATGACCCTTGGAGAGCACTGAACTCTGCCTGCACTTGAGCATCGGCTGTTCTGATGACTTATTGAGCCCTACACCGAGCACTCCTGTGCTCAAGGCCACAGAGTTGCCTTGGGCTGCTGGTCTTCCTCGCGGACCGGCACGCCGCTATAAGCTGGTTTTGTGTCCTGCAGCGCCCTGCAAGACCCTGCCGCTGTCTCGCCTCGGCGGAAGAGATCCGCGCGTGCGCCGCGCGACTGTTGGATTACCTTTTCGCCCTGGAAGGACCTCACTGCGGCCACGATTCTGCTCCTCACACGGATCGAGGTAAGTGTCAATCGTCTTCGGGCGGAAGATTTGCGATAGCGGAGCGAGAGGTCGGGTCGGGGCCCCTTTTCCAAAGGGTGAAATGCCACACAGATCCAGCCAAAGACCACCTTGCGGACGACGGAAGCCTCCCGGCGTCGGCGGGTCGGGGGAACAAAAGATCACCGCGCCGACAGAACCAGTACCCCACAACGGAGCAGGACTGTACGGGACGGGCGCGCGGGCGGCACGAAAGGTTACGCGGGACACGGACCCTCTGACCCGTACTCGCCCTGCTCACTACGTACCCCGCCCCGCCACGCCCCGCGGCGCCGATGCGCCGCTTTCCGTGATGAACGACGCTTTCGGGGTCGGCGAGGTCGCGGTGGCGGCGTCACTGGAGGCGTCGCGTTTGGCGCGCGTGTCCTGGCGTTTGAGCCACGCGGCGCGAGGACGCCTCCTCTGTCAGGGTCCTCCTCGTCATCAGCCCGGGCGGAGGATCCTGGTGGTCTGGTCGCCGCGATCCAAGCAGCCAAGCCCCACAGAAGACGGTTCTTTGTGCCAAGCTCGTCCGCGGGCGGGGCTGCACGGCCAACCGAGTGTGAGGAAACACCCGCCTCGCCGTTCGTGCGGCCTTTGAGCCTCGACGTGCTGATTGGCAGGTCATCGCATCGCGGTGGTGGCAGGCGGCGGACCTTAACCACCTTAACTTTTGCTTCGCTTTTTGTTATTTTCCTCTCAATGCCTCGTCAACTGGCAGGAAGGTGTCAAACTGGGTGGTTATTGCCGTCGTCAGGCGCCACCTGTTCACACATAGCCGCGCGGGTGGCGAGTGCGGCGTATAAGTAACGCTCGTTTGTAACTGGCGCGAAATGGTCGGGGGCCAGCAGCGGTGACGTCACCCGCATTGGCCGGGAGGTCCGGGCGCGCACCTCGCGGTCTGACGTCACCCTTCCGGTGTCCGGCTGGTGCCGCGGTGAGCAGCGAGCAGCCTGAGGGGCAGGGCGGGGCTGGTGAGGCAGGTCGGTCCTCAGGTCCGCCAGTGGCACGGACGACGGTGCTTGCTTGGGCGCGAGTGAAAGGTGCCAAGGGGCCCCCCGCTGCCGCCACGGCGCTTGAGGAAAGTCCGAGAGAGAGAGAGAGAGAGATTGCTCATAGTTGCCTTCTAGCTTGCCCTTGCCGTTCGCTGGCCCTGGACCTGCCCCAAGTCCTGCCGCCTTCCGTCAAGCTTGCGTTGAGGTCTCCGCTCGCACTTTGGTAGTACAACTCCGCGCTCTCGTGGTCCAGTTCCGGCCTCGGTAGCGACAGCGACAGCGACAGCGACAGCGACAGCGACAGCGACAGCGACAGCGACAGCCGCAGCCGCTCGCCGCACCCTGAGTGGGCCGGGCGCCCCGCCCGAGTGACCCCCTGCCTCGACCTCTTGAAGGTGAGGTGGGCTGAACGAGTTTTGCGCATGTGTGTCGCTCAAGATAGCTCGTTGTCTCTGCGCGGCGGTGCGGCAGGCTGTCCGCGACAGAGACATGGAATAGGATAGACTGGAAGAGGTATTGTTTGGGGTGAAACCTTTACGACCCCGGGCCCGGGGCCGCGCCGGTGCGTGCAGCGGGGGCTGGTGCCCGGCCGAGCTGTGTTCGGCTCCGCTCGGGGCCCGTTCGGCTCCGGCATCGCCCGGTCGCAGCGTGGCGTGGCGGAGCGGCACCGCGCCGGACCA